CCTCAGCCTCACAGAGTCGCCGCGACGCTGTCGGCCGCTCTAGCCTATTTCTCCGATAATCCGAACTCCCTCAACTCTGAACTCCAAAGGGCGAAGCCTAGTTGCGAAGTTTGGTAGTTGCTCTTAAAATTGAAATCTTTTTTAATTACTTTAATTGCTTAAAATGGGAGACTTAGGGAGTGTTTGCAACTGCTTTTGCTTAAAAAAATCACTTTTGGAAGTGATTTTGGAAAAAGTGATTAGTAGTAAAGTTGATAGTGTTTGAGAAAAAGGTGATTTTGAAAAGTAAAAGTTGGTAGTGTTTGGTAAAACAAGTGCTTTTTTGTGTAATTGAGAAAGTAAAAAACACTTTTCAGGCAAAAGCTGAGAAACGTTTTTTTAAGTAGAAGTTGTCACTTGAAAACACTAATTTTAGCTTTTTTAACTCAAGAGTCGAGAATCACCTTTTAAGCTATTGCAAACACTCCCTTAGAGTAGAAATTGTCATTTGAAAGCACTAGTTTTTTAACCCAAAAGTCAAGAAACATTTTTTTTAATGCTATTGCAAACACTCCTTACTTCCTTAGACTTCCCGGTTTGAATGGTCGCGACGCAAGGGATAAAGGAACGAGGAACGGTTGTCGATTAAGGAGGCGATTTTTTCTTGTTTTAGCTTTGTTTGACTTGTTGTTGACCATGTAAATGTAATTGAAAATTTGAAATGATTTTTTTGTTAGTAAATTTGAAATGATTTTGTGCTATACTGCTATCCGCCTATCCTATATGGATCAGTGGATTAGAAAATAGGGAGTAGAATTATAAATTATGGAGTAAATTTCATTGAATTGTTAATTAACTTTATGCTTTTACCGATTTAGAAAATAGGCTTATACTCAATTCAATTAGGCTTGAACTAGTTTACTATGCTTTTAATTTGTCATGTTACGGATGTCTATTTTATACTCCCTCCATCCATTAGAAGGTTCCCACTTTCCTTTTTTGAACGTCCCATATAAAGGTTCCCATTTCCATTTTAGGAAACAATTAGCAATCTTAAGTGACAAATTAATCATTAAATATTAAAAATAATACATTTATAACATCCCAATTATCACTGCTAACTACATTATAATATATACCTATTAAATTATTTCTCAAAATATACTCGAAGTAGTATATTTAATTATTGTCTAAATAATCGTGTCGTTTTGTTATGAGAACCTTCTAACGGGACGAATGTAGTAATTTTTTAAAACGATGTGGTGGGTCTTCTACACAAAATAACGAAGAAAGCAATAGGCATAAACGTTCTCATGTGGAATTGATAGTTAGTTTTGCCTGTTGCCCAAGACTTTAGGTTGAAAGAGTCTTCTCTGCTATAAAAATTGTCAAAATTGGTTTGTGTAGTACAATGAGAGATGAATGGATGAATGGTAGTTTGCTGATTGCCTGATTTACACGAAGAAGAAAATTGTTGCAAAAATTGAGGACATTTTTGCAAAATTTTGAGTTTTGATGCAAAATGTTCTGGTTCTGCCCCTGTTATAAAACATACGTGTATTTTGAAATTTGAAATTTACAAACATGTTTACTTTTGTTTAGGGCATTTTTTCTAAGATTTAAAAACACATGTTGAAGTGCTCTAAAGTTAAGAAGTACGGTACACTTTATAAAATTAAATGTTAGCTTATATATATATATATATATATATATATATATATATATATATATATATATAGGAAATCTTTCCGGTAAGGTATACCTTACCGGAAAGGCCGTGCGGCCTCCACGGTTTGAGGGCCTTCCCGGTGGAATTTTTCGATGAATTTTTTTGAGCATGTTTGTCATCAAGTCTAGTACATCCATACCAAATTTCAGCAAACAATTCACTCGGGAAGGCAGCGAAACGATTTTTGGAAGATAACTGCGTTTAATATGTATATAAAGGGTGCAGTTATCTTCCAAAAATCATTTGACTGCCTTCCCGATTGAATTTTTTGCTGAAATTTGGTATGGATGTCCTAGACTTGATGAAGAACATGCTCAAAAAATTTCATCGAAAAATTCCACCGGGAAGGCCCTCAAAACGTGGAGGCCGCACGGAGGCTCCGGTAAGGTATACCTTACCGGAAGAGTTATCCCCTATATATATATATATATATATATATATATATATATATATATATATATATATATATACTACGTATTATATAAGGCTCTCAGAATATTAATTTATTTTTATTTAAGTACAAAATGTGAATTTTGTACACCAATTTTTTCAAAAATATTACTTAAACAAATCTTATTTACACACATATGACTAATAGTTACTACACTCTAGTGTCATAGTAATTTAAGTTTAAAACTTGAACATAAGTTACAATTTTTCATTACTACTCTAGTCACTGATAACATTTTGATAAACAATCTTTATTTTAGTCATAAATATGTAATTATTTCTATTTTTTATGACATCATTATTTAATTTGAACATTGATTAGTTAACCCACTCTTCTGAACTCAAATACGTTGAAGTTTCCATTTCAATTGTAATACTGAAATAAGTTTAAAGAGACTTTTGAATTATTCCTAACGTAATCAAGTCAACTGCTTAGCCTTTTCCATTGGCGATTTGGCAATTCTTAGTTATAAATTCCGTTGTGTAAAAAGTTTTAAGACAAAAATGTTTTTGGAGTGCGATTCACGCTCATCGTGGATTGCACATCCTGCTTTTCACTAATATGAGTAGTTTTCACTTTTCATTAATAATATGCATAGCATGTTTTGATTATATTTTTCTTGTGCAAGGCGGGCTACAAGCTTTGCGGCAAATTATGAATAATGCAATGGTGTCATTAAACTTATTTCGAGATTTAATATAAGGTAGATTCTATAGTACTCATAATGTAACATACCTTTGTCCACATGAACTAATGATATTAACACTAAAGAAAGAAAAAGACAACGGCCTGGAAGAAGAGAAGAAGTCAACTGCTCTTCTTCCAGAGTTCCAGGCCGTTGTCCTTTTCTTTCTTTAGTGTTAATAAATGAGAATGTTGTAGTTAAATTATTTAAATCTAAATTAAAAATGATAAAATGATGTGGTCCAATCAAATGAATTGTAGGTACAGTACCCCTTTTTTAAAAAGGTACCGGAGTTGTCACCTTAATATAATTAAACAATGTTTGAAACATATGTACTCCGTAATTGATAACATTTCTTGTAAAAGATTTTTTTTTGTCAAATATGCGTTTACCTTCTATTTATGCTATTGGTTTTATTCTAGAGTTAAAATTTAAACTTGCCAAAGGGATTGATACAAAAATCAATCTTCTAGAGCAACTAATTTTCTAGGGATTAATGATTGCTATACAGCCCAATAATTTTAAAATTCCTATCTATCTTAATATAACAACAAAAGGTTTCTTGCAGCACAAGTTCCCGCCAAAATGCTTGGACCAAGGCTTACGGCTTACACTACTTCCAGTGGAATATTCTAGACATGAGTGTAACTGTGTAACATTTGTGTTTCAGATATTTAATGAACTGCTGGCTTTTGTTTTGTCTGCTAGCAATTTAAGTTGTTTTTCGTCTTAATTGGTTTTAAACTCTTCATATTACCGCTTTTCTCATCTATTTTGCAGCTTTACGTTTTTCTATGAGATGTTTCTGATTGTTGGAAGAAAGTAGTTTATGAGTATTATATTTGGGTGATTGTGTATGGAAGAGAGGATTTTTAGAGAGAGATGATTATGGGAGAACTTGGAACTTTTATTGATTTGGATTTTGGAGCTTTTGACTTATGTTACAAATGAGTGAGGAGTGCTCTATTTATAGGTCTCATAGGATCCTTCTAGGCACTCCTATGTCCTAAGCATTCTACAATGTTCTATAGGATTCTAGCTTAGGAATATTCTAGAATTATTTAATAAGTACATTAACTAAAGAGTACTCTAGATCTTTCTTTACTAACTCTAACTTATGGGCTAACTAATTTATTATTTCTCATACAATTATTAGCCCAATAAGTTAACTTGTAATGGACCCAATTATTGGGCTAAGCCAAGTTTAATTTCTAACATCCCCTCTTAAACTTGACTTAGCAACACCAAGTAGATCCCGCATCTTTGCAAAGACATCATGCTTGAGTGGCTTTGTGAGCATATCAGCGACTTGGTCTTGAGTCTTCACATACTCTACTTGAACTTCCTTCTTCGCTATCTTTCCCCGGATGAAATGATATCGAGTGTCTATGTGCTTACTTCGATCATGAAACATTGGATTATTTGCTAATGCGATAGCTGACTTGTTGTCCACGAATATTGTTGTTGCTTCTTCTTGAGACATGCCGAGAGCTTGCAATATGTACCTGAGCCAAATTGCATGACAAACACTTGATGTTGGTGCAACGTACTCGGCTTCACAAGTGGAAAGAGTGACTATCGATTGCTTCTTTGAAACCCATGTGAAAGCGGTGTTTCCCAAGTAAAACACGAATCCAGTTGTGCTCTTGCGGTCATCGATATCTCCACCCCAATCACTATCGCAATATCCAACTAGCTTACACTCATCAGATGAAGAGTAAAACAACCCATATTCAGCGGTGCCTTTGAGATATCGCAAAATCTTTTTGCCGCCTTCAAATGAGTTGTTGTAGGGCTATGTATACAAGTGCCACCTCTTGAGAGATTTCTTCCTTTTCTCCCAAGAAAAAGACCTCTTTTAAATGGTGGGTCACATAGCTCCATTAACGAGTATCTAACTGGTGGGGGAAGTACACTATGTAAGAGCCAGATAGTGGAAATGTGTATTAAAATGAGAGTACACGTAATGATTTGGGAACCTCTTTTAATTAATTTCTGAAATTGGAAAACAAATGACTTGGACTAGAAGCTAGGATAATTGAAACATGACATGTACAAGGATAAAGGAGTTAATCAACAATTCAATTGAAGCATGTCATGTTTCAATTATAAATTATGAAAGTGAGTGTGGGGAGCAGTATTCTTTCCAAAAAGCACAAAGAAGGTAAACGATTATGGGCAGCAAGCAGTTGCCGGTTAGAATTAAATGCTCTCATCTTCTTCTTCTTCTGCTCTTACCTTAGAAGACAAAAAGGTATACCTACAACCTACTCTAAAACAAAGACACGTGGAAAACCCCCACACTCAACTCAGCTCATTCCTGCCTGCTACACCTCATCATATGCCATCACACCCTTTTTTTAGCAAATTCACTTCCACCTTCTCTCTTCCATCCTATCACTATAAAAACCGTTTCATTTCTTGCTTGATATCCACTACAGATTTCAAATATCTGCTCGATCAACTTTTAAGGTATCTTCCAGAAATATTTTTGGTCTATTCATATTAATTACCTTTTCTTTTCTTGCTTTGTTCATTTCAGAATTATTTAGGTTTTTCTCCTAAATATGAGTCATTCAACCCTAAAAAAAGAATTCGTTTTTTTTTCATGTATTACAACTAATCAAGTCATATTTTGAGAACAAAACTTAGCTAGCTAGTCTTATTTGTGAGCTTAGTCTATGTTTTATTCCTATTCTCATCAATTTCTTATTCCCTTCTTTTCTCAAATAGTTTGGTTGTTATTATTACAGAACCAAATGGGATCATAACATGCCGCATTTGGAGTATTATTGTTTTGCATTAGAATAGGGAAATAAGTTATAAAAGTAGTGAATAGTTCTTTTAGCTAGTCCTGATTGAGTTGAACAGCAATGGTAGTTGTTGTTGAACTTGTTGGAAAAATGTGTGAAAAATTGCATTAAATGGCTAATTTGGGGCAATTTTTTGAGTGGGGTCCACTTCCGATTTGGGTCGGGTCAAAGTGGTTTCGGATTGTCCTTGTTAAGGGCTACAATTCGATATATGGTACGCTCAAAACGGATAACGGGTGAATGAGAAATCGCTTTTCGAAGTTTACCCGTTAGAATGGAAAAACTGGGAAAAAGGATGAGTTTCTAGTGTTAATTTCCCACACCGGAAAACCCAAGGGATTTGCAACCCTTTATAAAGGGACTCCCCCCTTAAGGAGTTAAGATTCCTTAGGGTAGAGGCTCTCTCCACGCGCGCAGGGGGGGGGGGTGCAAATCAAATCCCGAATTCGGAGAAGAAAAACCGCGACTTGCGTGCGCGGGCGACCTGCGGACACGAATGTCGTCCAAAAATCCATCTCTCAAGAGATACGGGTAATTTTTGTTTTCTTCCCGAAATGTATTTTTTTTTCCCAGTTAGCAGAATTGCTCCGGGCAGAAGGCCACGACCAGAGATGCTCCGGTTCTGATGACCGCGCATCAGAACTGCTTCGGTCTCTGATGGCCTCGATCAGAATACCTCGCGTTGGTATTCTGGTTTCGGTCTCTGATGGCCTCGATCAGAATACCTCGCGTTGGTATTCTGATGGCCTCGATCAGAATACCTCGCGTTGGTATTCTGGTGGCACTTCTGAACCGTTACAGCAATAAATGCCCAACGTTTATATCTTTTAATGCAGCGTTAAATGGACAGTTCATGGACGATTCAATGCCCAACGGACTGGTCATTGATGTCCAACGTTCAGGTCCATTAATTTACTATTTTCATACAACAAATCCTCCTATATAAAGGCTGGCAGGTGGTTTGCAACAAGACACGTTCTTACACGCATTCTTGCACTCCATACACGTTTTAGCTCTAAAAACACACTGCTAGCACTCTGAAAATTCCTTCTGTGTTCAGTCTTTGTTCTCGTTCGTTGGAACTCTTGTTTGTGTGCTCAAACATTAGTTCGTTGTCATCGTATCCTGGGAAACTATTGTTGCAACGCTCCTAGCACCGTGGGAGGCAACAAATACGTTTTAAGGACATCGTGCGTAGCACGAGCTTTGACAAATTTCTGCTCCATCTCATTTCTGTTTTCTTTTGTCATTTTATTTAATTAATTTCTTTTAATTAATTAATTTTCTTTATTTTCCGAAACACACCCAACAGAACTTTTTAAGGAATTCTCACTTATTAGTATTGTTTTTACAGGAAAGCTATAAGTGAGTGGGAAGTGAGTTGTTTCCTTGATGGGTGGTGTTTGTTCGTGGAAGAGAGAGTACTACAATGCTGATGAACATCTACACAGGAGAGGCATCTCCGGCAGATACTTCAAATGCCGGAGTTCAAAGTGGCTGACATCCTCTTTCTTTCCACTGGTTGTGGACTGTCGTCCTGAAGGAAGCGCTTCTCCATCCCTTATGGAGCTATGCATTCACAAAATTCGACAAGTCTATCTAGCTATGCTCCATCTCATTTCTGTTTTCTTTTGTCATTTTATTTAATTAATTTCTTTTAATTAATTAATTTTCTTTATTTTCCGAAACACACCCAACAATCTTAAAACGTATTTTGCGGATTGTTATACTGTGGTATACAATCTTAAACTGTAGTTTGTCACTTTGGTGAACGAACTTGTTTTTGTGTTTTCGGAAAAAACGTTAAGAAAACGAAAATGACTTCTCAAGAAAACGAGATTGGTGTTGGGCAGAATGTTCTGAACGACAATCACTCTGAAAGCGGAGCTCCGGTGAACAATAGTTCACAACGCGGAGCATCTGCTTTGAACCAAAGGGTTATCCCTATGGTTACCGTGCCAAGCAACTCTGTGGAGAAACCCGAAAAATTTAATGGGTTAAACTTCAAGAGGTGGCAGCAAAAGATGCTCTTCTATCTCACTACTCTCGGTCTTGCACGTTTCTTGACCGAGGACGCACCGGTTGTAACCGGGGGTGAGGTGGATGCGCAATCTTTCAATGCGGTTGAAGCTTGGAAGCATTCGGACTTCCTTTGCCGAAACTATGTGTTGAACGGGCTGCACGATGCTTTGTACGACGTTTATAGCAAATTAGCTACGGCTAAGGAGCTATGGAATGCTTTGGACCACAAATATAAAAGCGAGGATGCCGGCGCAAAGAAATTTGTTGTTGGTCGATTCCTTGATTTTAAAATGGTGGATTCGAAGACGGTCTTGAGTCAAGTTGAGGAGATGCAAATGATCTTCAACGAAATTCGAGATGAAGGAATGACGGTTAGTGAGTCGTTCCAAGTGGCGTCAATTATTCATTTATTGCCGCCGGCTTGGAAGGATTTCAAGAACTACCTTAAGCATAAGCGAAAGGAAATGAACTTGGAGCAATTGATCCTCCGTCTGCGGATTGAAGAGGATAACCGGAAGAACGATGGGAAACTCCCAATTGTTCATGGCGCCAAGGCCAACGTGGTGGAGCATGCAAAAAGCTCCAAAAATAAAAATAATGGGAAGAGCAAGCTCGGTCCCAAGGGAGGCGTTTCCAAGACGAAGTTCAATGGAAAATGCTTCAATTGCAATAAGAACGGACACAAGTCCTCGGATTGCAAGGCACCAAAGAGGAAGAAAGATTCTCAAGTCAACTTGGTGCAAGGTGGGCAAAAGGATGAAGACATCATCCTAGCGGCTGTGGTTACGGAAGTCAACCTCATTGGATCCAATTCCAAAGAGTGGTTTGTGGACACCGGTGCAACCCGGCACATTTGCTCTAACCGGGAGCTATTCGCAACCTTTGAGCCATCAAACGGTGAGAAGGTGTGGATGGGAAATTCTGCTCATTCCGAGGTGGAAGGCGTGGGCAAGGTGGTCCTGAAGATGACTTCGGGCAAGGAGCTGACTCTCAACAATGTGTTGTACGTCCCGGAGATACGCAAAAACCTGATCTCGGGCTCATTGTTGAACAAGCATGGCTTCCGCATGGTCTTTGAGTCGGACAAACTAGTTTTGTCTAAATCGGGAATGTATGTGGGCAAGGGGTATGCAGTTGATGGGCTGTTTAAGCTCAATGTAATGACTATTATTGATAATAATAATAAAATCTCTTCTGCTTACTTGCTTGAGTCTTCCAATGTGTGGCATGGTAGACTAGGACATGTTAATTTTAATTCTATACGTAGATTAATTAACATGGAACACATTCCTAAATTCACAATTGATGTGAAGCACAAATGTGATATTTGTGTTGAGGCAAAACTAACGAAAACGTCTTTCAAATCGGTTGAAAGAAAAACGGAACCACTAGAATTAATTCATAGTGACGTTTGTGATTTTAAATCAATACAAACACGTGGTGGTAATAAATATTTTATTACTTTTATCGATGATAGCACTCGCTATAGCTATGTTTATTTGTTGAAAAATAAACACGAAGCAATCGATAAATTCATTCTTTATAAGAATGAAGTGGAAAACCAACTTAATCGACGGATTAAAACGGTTAGAAGTGATCGAGGTGGTGAGTATGAAGCACCAATTGGTGACTTTTGCGCTAGTGTGGGTATAGTACATGAACGTACCGCACCCTATTCACCTCAATCAAACGGTGTTGCCGAACGAAAGAATCGCACATTGAAAGATATGATGAATGCGATGCTAGTAAGTTCGGGCCTGCCACAAAATATGTGGGGCGAAGCGATCTTAACAAGCAATTACCTTTTAAATAAGGTTCCCCGGAAAAAATATGATAAAACTCCGTACGAGTTGTGGAAAGGCAGACGACCTTCCTATCAATATTTAAAAGTGTGGGGGTGTCTTGCTAAGGTGCTTGTACCAACACCTAAGAAGATAAAAATAGGTCCAAAAACGGTGGATTGTATTTTTATTGGATATGCACAAAATAGTAGTGCTTATCGGTTTTTAGTGTACGATTCGAATAATCCGGATGTACATAAAAACACAATAATTGAGTCAAGGAATGCATCATTCTTTGAAGACGTATTTCCATGCAAGTCCAACGATGGACCTAGCACGTCAAAACGAACATTTGACGTAGCTATGGAAAATACTAGCGAGGGATCCGGTGAAGAAGCCGAACCCCGACGTAGCAAACGTGCTAGAGTGGAAAAATCCTTCGGACCGGATTTTCTCACATACTTGACAGAATTCGATTCGAATATTCTAACTTGTATGGTAGAAAATGAACCGGATTTTCTAACATGTTTGGTAGAAAATGAGCCACGGACTTATACGGAAGCCGTAACGTCTACCGAAGGACCTATGTGGAAAGAAGCCATCAAAAGTGAGGTGGATTCTATCCTAAAAAATCACACATGGGAATTGGTTGATCTCCCTCCGGGATGTAAACCTTTGGGATCCAAGTGGATTTTTAAACGTAAAATGAAACCGGACGGTTCCATTGATAAGTATAAGGCCAGACTTGTAATCAAGGGATACAAGCAACGTGAAGGCCATGATTACTTTGACACGTATTCTCCTGTGACGAGAATAAATTCCATTAGGATGATACTAGCAATTGCCGCTTTGCGGA